AGAGACACGGATATTCTTATTTTTGGCGGACATGTGAATTGTTTTAGTCTTTCTGGAAAGGAATCCGGCTACATCTATCAAAAATGAAAAATACATATACCCTTCAATTCGGCAGTCTTTTCCTTGGGAATCTATCCCAGGGAAATAAAAGCCCCAGTGCATGAGGATTTATATACAAAGATGCTATTACAGTATTCTTTTTTAGTAGCCAAAGATCAGACATAAAAACCAGTGCCCTTCAGAGGGGAAAAGCTGAATAAAATATGGTCCTTTCACATGATGGAATACAATATATGAATGTATGAATGACTGAGTCAGGGGTAAGCAGTTGACTCAGATTCCCAACAAGGTAATGATGGATGAGAAAAGCAAAATATAGAGTCCATAGCCTCATGTTTAAACTAATGATGCCAAACTCCTGTGAAAGTTTATATATGTTTATGAGTGTGTTTATCCTTATGTAAGAGTACAAGAGTATAAAAAAATAGTGAAGAAAGCATACTAGGTTAACATTGGTTTATTCAGGAGAAGAGTGATATAAGGGGAGAGAGGCATTTATGCAAAGAGGAAAACAAGCAAAATCTAAATCTCTGAACTTCTCATTTTAAAGATTTTTTTTACTCCTTAAATTTTTGAGACACCCAACTGCCATACCAAAAGTCAGGTTCAAAAACAAACAGTAGTGATTGCTACCTACTCTCGGTGTTTGAAGGCAGGTTTCCTTGTTACTGATTCTAGCCTTTCCATAGAAGTTGTATAATAAACGGGGCACTTGAGTGGCTCAGATATTTAAGCATCTGCCTTTGGCTCACGTCATGATCCCAGGGTCCTGAGCCCTAGCGCCATGTTGGGCTGCCTACTTAGTGGGGAGTCTGCTTCTCCCTCTGCCCCTCCCCGCCAGCTCACGCTCACTTTCTCTCTCTAATGAATAAACTAAAAATCTTAAAAAAGAGAAGTCATATAATAAACAGTCTCTGGTTTTCAGGCAGAGATTATTTTGGAGTAACGTGTGGACACGTTGGCTGCCTTAGAAACATAGATATTGAATACACCCATCCACCCACTATAATTATCACCCATTCATCCAAGTAATCATCATGACTCCATTGACTCTTAGCTATCCCACTCATTTGAAAGAACAGGTGGTTGGGTCGGGGGTAGGGGAAAAGTAGAGAGTGGGGAGAAAGACTTAAAACATTACAGAGAACACAATGGGCTCAGCAAATTGAATGAAAAATTAGAAACTTTGAAAAATGAATCAGAAAATTGGGATTCATTTAGACCACCCTTCTCGGTTAGAGACAAACCCCACTGATACCTGGTCTGCTTGAGAGTTAATACTCATGTAGGGGCACCTGGATAACACAGTTGGTTAAGCTCAGGTCATGATCTCAGGGTCCTGAGATTGAGAGCCCCACGTTGGGCTCTGCACTCAGTGTGGAATCTTCTCGAGACTCTGTCCCTCTCCCTCTGCCCCTTCCTCCCTCCTCTCTCTCTCTCTCATAAATAAATAAATCAATAAAATCTTTTTAAAAAGTATTAACTTTTTACAACTGAAACAAAAATTTCATGCAATAACACGCAGCAACATATTTTGATATTTTCTATTTCTATTGTATTTTCTTTTAAAATAAAATGTGGGTCATAAACCAGGGATGGGTCACAACTGAAGTTTGAAAAACACTGCCAAAGAGTAGTAAGCAGCATATGTCCATTAGAATTAGTGCTATTTTAGCTTTGTGAACTTCAAGGTCCTATTTTTACTTTAGGTTACTTGTTAAAATTCTAAGCTGCTGCATTTGTCAAAGAGAACGGCACCTTTCCAGCCTTCTATTAGCACAGTTCCTTGAAGTTCTGAATTAGATACCAGGCAGTCATTTCCTCTAAGCAGGCAAGCTGGAGTCACTTTACTAATACACAAGTGTTTCCTAAATGATACATGGATTCTTACGGAGTTTGTTGATTGGTTTTTCACTGTCTTTGACTACAAGAGCCTCCTTTTCTCTCTTCTAGTTTCTTTTTCTTATATCAGGCAAATTCTTTTTAATTTCAACTTTATTCAACTGACTAATCTTATTCATTTAGAAATAAGAGGGTGAACAAGAAAACTTCTCTACCCACAGAGTAACTCATTGGGAGAAAAATCGAACAGGTGTAATAGAGGGAGAAGTTGGGAGAGAAGAACATAGAAGGTTTCTCAGGCAGGAGAGAAAGAAGGGTCCACCTGACAAGGGGTGGAGATGGGTTCTCCAAGTCGATGTGTTTAGGAGAGAAAGTCCCAAACTTTTCCTGGAAAGAGAGCTGGCCTTCCCGGAAGAGGAAACTGCAGACGTCAGGGCATGGAGGTGGGGAGAACACGTAGTTCCATTTGTCTGGAGTAACGGGAGGTGAATGAGGCTTAGCTGAAGTGGGAGGTTAGCTGAGGAGCCCACTCTGCACATCTGTGGGCCGCAGACAGCCACCCCAATGACTCCATGCTTTCACTGTCCACTCTCCGGGAGGGACCCAGGAGGGATGGGTTCAGATTTCAGGGGCTCAGTCTTAACTCCCTTCTACTAGACTTATAACCTAACTGAAGTCTGGAATTGTACCTGAAATGGCCTAGGTCCAGGGTCTGGCGTGGAATCAGCAGACATTCAGAGGCCTCCCAGACACAGAGCTCATCTATGTACCCAGCACTTGCCAGATAGCTGAAACTCATGTCCACGCTGCGCTCTCATCTTCAACAGGGATGGAATGGAATTGCAGTACGTTGGGAATAATGCAGGAAAACAAATATCCTCTTTTACTAAAGCCTCTTTCCCAAATTACCCCTTCCTGGAAAGATGTCGCAAATGATTCAGTAACTTATTCTCATCCGGCCCCCAGATCCTAAAGATCAAGAAAATAGAGACATTAATAAAAAATAGACATAAAAATAATTGTCTTGTGATATTCTCATTTTATAGTTCTTACTAGTTACTATTGCTCAATAACAAATTTCAGTTTATTATTATTTTTCATACTATCTTCTAAGTGTGAAAATCACTGAAGAAGTAATTGAATGTCAGAGTTGGGAGAGCCCTTTGAGCTTATTCTGGTATATCCCTCTCATTTCGCAGTTGAAGAAAGGGGGGGGCTTGATAACTTTATATGAGCTACCCCAAAACAATATTACACCAGAGAATTATTAATCAACCAAAAAGCCATGACTTGGAGCAACTTACCTTGTTGGTAGATGCCGCTTTGGTCTCTTAAAAGTGTGTATGCCTATTTCCATAACAAATTTGTTACATAATCAAATTTGTATCATACTGTTTACATTTTTGTATCTTGACTTTGTCACTCAATATATTATAAGGTTTCCCTCCAAATCTTTACTTGGTATTCATATATGTTACCTATTCAAATATTTAATGATTGTTTTAATATCTCATGGTATGCATGTATCATCTCTTATGTATGTATGTATGTATGTATCATGCCCTGTTGTTGGGCATTCTGGTTGTGTTGGGTTATTGTTATTGGAAGCAAACTTTTGTACGTAAATTATGACTTCCCTCTGATTATTTCTCAAGAAAAGAATTACTAACTGGTCAAAGCAGGTGGACACATTTAAGACTTCTGACGCATACTGCCAAGCTGACCGGCTCAGGGACGTTTTTCAGATTTGCTAGAAGCGACAGGTCTCATATCTTTTTTGGAATCTTAGCAACACTGGGCGCAACAGGTCAGTCGCTCCAGCTAACCTGGACTTCAAATTAGCCCTTTTACATCACTTAAATCACGTCATCATTTTAATCATTTAAAACACATATGATTGTAATCATTTAAAAATATCAATAATGGTGATGCTCCTGGCTTAAGAGGTCTTATTCTCAAGTTGTAAATTTATCTGTAAGAGCTAAGGGAGACGAGTGTGATTAATTGGGCAAGGATCAGATGAGAAATGTCCAGGTTTCCTGCAGGGGTCACTGTTAGTGTCAGTCTATGCCTGCGCTGAAGAATGTAAGCACATTCATTTTTAATGCCCGATTCGTTCCCATTCTCGAAACGGTAAAATAAATCATAAAAGCTTGAAGCCAGATAGCATCACAATGCCAGGTTTCTTATATAATGACAAATACCACCCTTTCCACTCAATAGGCTCCTCAGTTTGAACTGATGGAGTATATGTCACTCATGAAAGGCACTTAACGCCTTCTCTTAACAGAGGAGGCATTAGCTAATTGCCTAACGCCATAAAGTGTTTACCGGCATCCAGTAACTTGAGAAGGAGAAGGAAAAAACATTCATTGCTGTGGACGATGGGATCCCCTCCCTCCACCTTCCGCATTCTGCGTGCTCTGATTCAAAACCTATTTCCACGGGCGACAAAAATCAGAAGTTGTCATATGCATTCTACTGTACCATTTGAGTACGAAGAGTTGCTTTTTAAGTTTTAAGTTTTAATAACGCGGCTCAAACAGGCTCCCGACGTTCCAGGAGGGGGGCGGTGGTCAACGTGGAGGTGCGGGCGCACCTTTGCAAAGGCGGCGACTGTCAGGATTCGGGGCTGGGCCACGAGCTTGTCAGCCCTCTCTACAGAGCGGGAGTCTTTCCCCTCATAAAATGCAAAGTAACCAGCCATCTTCCATTTTCCCCAAGCCCAGCCCTCCTCACCAGGTGCCCGGGGAAGGGGCCGGGAGGGTATTTACTCTCCGCTCTGGCGTTCTCCTATTTAATTGAACCCCGTGGCAGCTGCCTGCAGGGTCAAGTTCAGCCGCACCTTGCAGGCAGGCTGCCCAGCGGGCCAAGGTCTCAGGCCAAACCGGGGCTGGACTGGGCCGAAGCGGCCGGGAAGCGGAAGGAGGCCGTCTAGGAAACCAGGAGTGTGTGGTCGTGTCGCCGGTGTGCAAGCCTCCACTTTGGCGGGGGTGGAGAGGTCCACCTCGCCCCTGGTGCGACGCGGCCTGGGGCGGACGCTGGGCTCCGTCCCAATCTCCTCGCAGCTGGGAGGAGTTGAGGGTGAAGTTGGCAAAACTCACTCACCTGTCAGAACCCGTATCTGGGCAGGAAGCGGGGCCCCCGGGCCAGAGCGCGCCACCTCGGCACGCAGCCCTCCGGGTGCAAGGACTACGCGGCCAGAGAGGCACGTGTGGGGGCTGCCCCCAGGGTCTCCGCGCCCCAGCTCCTGGCTGGTCCCTTTCGCACCCGGGCACCCTCAGGCTGGCGCGCCCCGAAGGCCAACCGGAGCAGACGCCAGGGCTGCAGGTCTGAGACGCTCCGCCTCCTTCTGCCACTGAAAGCCACTAGCGCCCGCTGGAACCCTTACGGTCAGTCTTAATCCGCGGTCACTTTCGGAACTTTCCAGGCAAGGACTAGCTAGGCCCTCTGCCTCCAACCCACGCCGAGCCCGTCGCCCGCCTGGGACACCTCCAGGACCGGGAGATCCCGCTCTCCACGCCACCACCTCCCACCCCCGGCACCCCAACTTTTTACACGTGGTCTGCGCCCCGCGACTGGGTGTCCGGCTCCCGTGCTAAGGGGCGTGTGCATCTTCCGGGCGCCGGCAGCGCTCCCATCCTCTCGGCTGGCCCTCCTCCTCCCCAGGACCCGCTGTGGGGCTGGTCAGCCCGGATCTGCAGGGCGCTCGGCTGTCCTAGCGCGCCGAACTCGCCCCCGCCTCCGAGTCCATCCTCGAGGACGGGACTGAGCCTCAGGACGCCAGGCTTCTTACTCTAAAAGTCAAGGCGGCCTTGTCTGTTTTTTTCCCGAACGCGGGTGCCTGTCGCAGATCGGCCGGGCGAGCGGCCCGCGGAGAATCCGGGCGCCCCGGGACCGCGTCGCGCCGTCGGGTACAGCGCGCACCATGGCCGGCTGCTGCTGCTTGTCGGCGGAGGAGAAGGAGTCGCAGCGCATCAGCGCGGAGATCGAGCGGCAGCTGCGCCGGGACAAGAAGGACGCGCGCCGCGAGTTCAAGCTGCTGCTGCTGGGTGAGTGACTGTGACGCCCCCGGACCCTGCTCGCCACGCGTTTTCCGCGGTCCCGGCCGCTTCCCTCGCTCAGATCCCTTCTAGGCCTGGAGCCCGTGGGCTGTAGGCGCGGCTTCTTCCTTTCCCCGGGGTGGGGAGGGGTGTGGGCTCCGAGGCCGGCAACTTGGGGGCCTTACGCACGTGTCCTTTGCACCCTCCAGTTGGTCGACTTTCGAAGGCACCCCTTCCCTACCCAAAACCAGGCTGACACGTAGCATTTGATCAGTGTCTGCTTTGTTTGCTCTGCTCCCTAAAACCTTAACCCCATCCTTCTGTCCCCAGTTTCTGCAGAGCTCTGCCTTGGATGTTGGGGTAGGTGGCGGGGAGCTGCCTGATGAAAATCTTTGGGTGCAGCTCTAGCTCTGATCGCTGTGCTCTCAGTTTTTAAGAAGTGTGGTTGAGTGAGCGCTCACCAAGTGTGGACTGTGCTTAGTCCGGACCGCATCGCTGGGCTGTAACAAGCAAATATTGTAACCTCTCCATTTTGGAGAATTGAAAATGGAGGTCTGGAAAATTGGTTAACTTGCTTTGGGAAAAAACAAAACCGATACTAGGTCATTAGTGGGGCTGAGGTCCAAGCCCTAGCCGCTCACCCCACTGTGACCCCAATCGTCTCCCTTTGGCCAGCAGGCCCAAACCTCCCCTCCTCACTCTGCTCCACTCCGCGTGTGCTACTGCCTAGCCTTTGGACTTGGCTGCCCCAGCTGCCTTGACTACTTATTATCTGGCTCTTAAGTTTCCAAAAGAGATAGCAAATGTTAAGGTTTCCCCACCTTATGGCCTAGGGCAAGGATCCCACCTTTTCTGACTTTCTGGAACCCTGTTGAATCCATTTGCTGTTTGAGAAATATTTACCTTTGCGTTTGTTCACACCAGGATATTAGCTGTTAATCTTTGCAGATAGCTAGAAGTGTTTCAACTCTTTGATCAGTTCCAGACAGGAATCCTCTTACAACAGTTTATTAATGTTGAATATAAGGACTCACCCTTCCAGAATGCTTCAAGTTAAGAAAAGTTGATCTAGTTAGGATAAAATGGAGAAAGCTTTTAGTTCATATTGGCTTCAGGCCTGAGCCAAGGAACCTTTTTTTTTTAATCCCCCCCCCACCTCCTGGGGTTTAAAAGGTGTATGTGAGGGTATATGGCCTTCACCTCCCTACTGGGACAGGTGTCTGCAGGTGGAGTGGGCTGCCCACCCAGAATACATATTGCACCCCAGATTCCCATGGGATTCCCTTCCCAAAGGCCCCCAAGCCTGCTTCCATGGCCTCTGCCAGTGGGGAGGAGGCAGACCTCCTCCCTGAGGAATGGGCGAAGGGCAGCTGTGCTGGGGTGTTGGAAGAGCTTGGAAATAACAGACTGAAGGTCTACAGGTGTGCCCCTGAGGCCTTCCTGGGGAGAGCTGGAGCCTGGGTGGGGGAGGGGTGGGGGAGGGAAGAGACTGTGTCCATCTAGCAGGGATGTTGAAACAACCTGTGTCTGGCCCAGAACTCCCAGGGGCCTGCGAACTCTAAATTGTACCTGGCCTTCCAGGTGGATAGAAAGCTGCGTTTGTCAAGGGGAAGGATTCTGTGACAGTTGGCTAGCTTGATGACCTTAAAGTGTTGGGGCCTTCATTTGTAGCCTTGCCCCAGGCCCCACAAATGATAGGGGCAGGCCTGGCTTTGGTGGCATAATTGTTCTTTTCAAGGGAAGCCTGTACCTTCTTTCGTTGTGAAGCTGTTAATTTGTGCCAGTGTATGAAGTACAGAGTCAGGAATACCCCAGGAGCTTACAAACGCTGGCTGACACTGGTGAACTGGCCTGTTTTTTGGTGGGGGGAAAATGGGGGGGGGTAAAATGCTTGCATTTACACTCTAAGTAGGGGAGAAATGTTTGCCCTGGAGCTCGTTTAATACTGGTGACTAGAATATCTTCTTGGCCTCCCCCAGGCCTTTACCCCAACCCTCTTCCTGCACCCTCCAGGCACTGTCTCCTCTCCCAAGATCCTCCTTTTCATTCAGTAGCATACTGGCTCAGGGTTAGTTACTTAAGAACCAATAGAAACAGTTACCCAGTCACTTAGAGCTGTCAGGAACCCCAAAGAAGGACTTAAAAACTTGGGTTTCCTTCCCTCTTTAAAGGGAGCAGGGCACCCTTCCATTTCTCCCCAAGATGAAGGAGGAGGCAGTGACTTCAAAGATAAAGGATCAGGAGGATGTGGCAGATGCTGTTTTGTCCCCAGTGATGCAGTGTGAGTGCAGAATTCACCTGAGTCTATAATGGCAGAATTAGATAACCCACTGCTCAGATGCCTCCGGTGAAAATGGCACTTTGTGAATGGGTGTTGAGGGTCGTGCGTGGAAGGTGGAATGACCCGGAAAGCCACCAGCTCTTTCACAAGGAAGCATGCTTTTGCAACAAAATGATGTAAGTTTCCGAAGTGCATTCAGTAGAGCAGTATCCTGCTTACACTTAATAAAAGCATAGGTCAGTGTCCGCAGGGAAAGATAAAAGCTGCTATCTGGTTTGGGCTAGCAATTGCAAGATGTCAACGTGATGCTTTCAGCTGTGGGCGGGGGGTGGGGAATAATGAAGATGATTGAATTTGATAGAAAGAAATACCTTATCAGTTCCTCAGATAAGAGCAGGATGAGAGTAGTTCTGCAAAGAGCCCTGATGAGTACTATTCAGTGCAGGAAGAAAGTGGATAAAAGCAATTAAACGGTGGTGGCAGCAGGGAGAAATGGAACCTTTTATTTTTAATATTAAGTGAGGTTTAGTGAAGTGTTGTTAATAGAGTTGAGTGTTTCCAGAAACTGATGGCTTAATTTTGAATGCAGACTCTCATGTTGGAACTGTCTGGAAGGAGTATATAATGGGGAATTGGTATTTAACTTACACTGGCATAAGGGTTAAAAATGTAGGCTCTGAGGCTAGACTGGGTTCAAACTCTGAAACCCTAGCTGTATCTTTTTTTTTTTTTTTTTTTTTTAAAACCACAGAGTAGTTTCTCTTGGGTTTGTCTGGTAGTGATAAGTGTCCGCTATCTTCACTCCATTTTTGAGCATTTTGAACCACCAATGAGGTGTTACTTTCTATTTTAGTTGATCAGTTACGGGTTGCATAGCAGTTTGTCTAAAATGTCCTGGTAATGCACCAACATTAATGTTTTACTTTCAGTTTCCTATATTTTCTGAGCCATAAGCTGATTTCAGTCTCCCTATTTACACCAGAATAGGTGAAAATCTGAGTTCCTTAAAATATTATCCCATTGGTTGTAACAGAATCTCCGTTGGAAACTAATCATCATGCTCCTAGGCTGAAAGTCTCTTAGAGGAAATTGCATAGGGAGGGTGGTTTTCTCCATAGAAAGTGACAGAATTTTCTAGCTCTGTGAAGAGGAAAAGGAGTGAAATGGTTAAGTATGTCCATGTTCCTTTACTCTTCACTGGGTTCAGTCCAACATTTTCCCAATTGCCAAGCACTGCTCAGTGCCTGGGATCATTTGTAAGTGAAGTACTAAATTGGAGGTGTGTGTTCACAAGTAACTTAGGAGGAGGATGGTCATAAGTGCTTAATACAGAATCAAACTTCATACAGGCAGTGCATGAAGGGGAGTCCTCTGGAGAAGGAATCGTTTGAGTAGACCCTTAAGAAATGGGGAGGTTAGGGTGTTGATGGCTGTCCATATGTGCGCTCATGTAGGAGACACACCAACTTCTCCCCATCTACCAAGAGAAGCTTTTGAGGACAGTAAGTGGTGTTCTGAGGCTCTGGAATGCTAGAAGGGGTATTTGGAGGCAAGATTTCTTTGAGTTTTTATGTTTTGTCTTAGTCCTTTATGTGAATATTGTGATTACTACAAAATAGATGTTCATGTAAAAATGCTTCATTTTTTTGTACCATAATGTGCTTCAGAATGGGGGACTGTGTGAATTTTTTTTTTTTTTAAGTTTGTGGCTTATGTCTTTTCTGGCCTATTTATTATCAGTACATGTTAATGAATCCCTCATTGGTTTTTTCTTCATCCCTGTACTTAATCATTGGGGCACTTGCATCGTACTCAGTTTGTGTAATGAAATCCCCTTCATGCTTGCATCATAACAACGTGGCCCATCATTTTTTTGAACCCTTTCTTACTCTCTGGTATAAGGATGAGCCTTAAACTCCAGCAGACTGCCCTTCCCAGTTGGGGAATCAGCCATTTCTTTACAGGGCCTTGGTGACTTTCAGTGGCAAACAGTGCCTTCTAAGATGTTTAGGGCCCTTGAAACAAAGAGAGCAGGTACCCAATTCGAATCCCTCACCAGTATCGATGTACCTAAAGGAACCACATTCTTTAAGGCATGGCGTTCGAAGATAAACATCTTGAGCTTGTAACGCTGTGAGCAGATGAGGGGAAAATCAGACAGTAGAATTAGACAAAAACAATGGGGAAAAAACCCCTTAACCCTCAAAGGTTTTTGTTTTTTTTTTTCCCTCACCAAATATGCCTTGTGGTTTATAAAACCCTTTTTCTTTTCCAGTGATACCTGAATTTAATACGTTTTCTTGTGGGGTGCCTGGGTGGCTCAGTCATTAAGTGTCTGCCTTTGTCTCAGGTCATGATCCCAGGGTCCATGGATCCATCAATTCTCACCACGGGGCATAAATCAAGACCTTCTCTGTCATCGGAACACAGATGGCCTGGGGTGGGGCTCCCTGGGAGTCAAGCAGCCCTTGCTGCAAACACCAAAATGTACCAACAGAAATGCAAGAGCTCTAAAGGTGGAGGGCACTGTGGGGGTCTTTGTGGGAGCCATAATTTTGGTTAGGATCCACTGGTTCTCTGCTACTGGGTAAATTAATGGGTTGTCCTGTCAGCCAGGGTTCTCCGTTGCAAACCCTGTAAGCAGAGGACTAGTTTATTGGTGGGGAAGCAGGAAGTTCACAGAACCGGTGGGAGTTGAAGAGCAGTCTCAGCCAAAAGGGCATGATCC